GCCGGGCTCCGTAATTTTTTTTATTTTTTATTTTTTTTAATTTGTTTTATTTTTTTTTAAATTTTTTGTATTTTTTATACAAAAGCAATTAGGGGCCAGCGCAAAGCCGAGGCGTGACATTCGGCAGCCTCCGTGGCAGGCAGGCTGCGCTTAAATGGAGGCCTTTCTGCGGAACAACAAGAGCCAAAAGGCCTTGTGTCACCCAGTTATGTAAGACACAATCTCGCCTGAAAATGCACAATGAATCGGGAAGGATTTATGTAATTAATTGACCAGTCTTAACCTGTTATCGTGATGTAAGGAATTTGGAACTCATTAATTTGGGCCCTGACAGATTTCATATTAGAGCTGGCAAATATGGATTGAGCCTCTTATTCTTGTAGCAGCTGGAATTTCCATGACAGTGAGGATTAGTGAAGAAGACCTATTGCTCGAGTCAAACTGCCTCTTTTGTAATCAGCAGCCCTGCTCTGCATTAAAGGGGTAATGGGAAAGAAAAAAAAAATACCAAAAGGAAAAAAAAAAAAAAAAAGAGAAATGTATTCATGTGTGGAGCAGAGCAGGGGGAGGGAGGGAAGGGACGTATCCTGGCGAGTGGAGGCACCAGAGTGGTGCTTTCCCGGCCCAGTGGCAATTAGAACGCCGCGAAGGCAGCCCTGGCGTGGTGGAAAGGGAAGGTCCCCAAATGACAGGTCTGCAGCATCCGTGGGGGGCTTGCTGCTGCTTGGCCAGACCTTCAGATGGAGCCTCCTGGAAGCCGCTGAGCGCTCGGAGCTGCAGCATCAGAGGTCCCAGGATCCTGCTCTGGGCTGCCAAGGGATGGAGGGATTTAGAGATAGAGGTGTTTGGGTCGTGATCCTGGGGAAGCAGGGGACTGGGAGGTACCTGTCTTCCAGCTTGGGCCAGGGGGGAAAAGGATGCTCTAGGCAGGTAAGGAGCAGATCTGGGAGCGAGGACAGGCCTCCGTGCTGCCAGGGCGAGGGTGACTGCGCACACGACGTGCCTCAACTTCCCACGTACAAAGACAGGAGTAAGAAATCTCCCTTTGTCTGCTGGCTCACGACAGCCTCTCCATACAGTTTTTCTTGGTGCCTGGCTGGGGAGGGTGCTCATGCCATTATCATTTCTAAGCATCGATGTAATAGTAATAACATCGGGTGCAGACTGTACGGAAACAGTCTAGGAGCTTTTATTTTCTCTCCTGGCAACCTGTTAATGACTGCGCTGGTAGTGGATACAATTGTTAGAAATTACTTTAAAAGGTTTCCATGAGACATCATCATATTTCTCCCTGCAAAGTGTTTACCTACTCTTGCAACAAATGCCGTGCAAAGGTGGAGGGGTATTTTTCCTTTTCTCTTTATTTCTTCGCTTTATGCTTTTTGGTAGTTGAATATTCCCCCTCCATGATCGCTCAGATCCACCGTTTGCTCCTCTAGGTTGTTTCTGCGTAATAACCGGGAGAAGGGAAAAGATGTAAAATGGGGAATTGACGGTAAAACCGCAATTGTTTGTAAAGACTAATGGCAAATGCAGATTAAAAATAAAACGCAGCCTATGTGGCTCGAATCCTCTGGTCAACCTTGTCGATGTGCATATTGGCCTTGGCTCCCATCATCGTGCCAGGATGGTTTATGAATCCAGGTACCAAAACTCGAGCATTCAGTCCTAAATTTTGGAATCTCCACAGGATTGAGCACATGGTGCTGGAGACCTGCCCTTATCCAATTGCAAACTCTTTGGAGAAGGGCTGCCGCATCCTCCTTCTGGAGCTAGGTCTAGCTCATATTGCTCTCGTAGTTGTCAGCTAATAATCCAGATCATAGCTTTAATCTCCTTGATTTAAAACAAAAAACCTCAACCACGACCAATAGATTACAATTTGACTGTGCTCCTTCAACGAATATCTGCTGTCTTACTGTCTCCTGATAAATTAAAAAGTCTTCACACATGTCAGCTAGCTCAGATTTCCCCTAAAGGTAGGGCATAATTTATCTTTTATGGTGGTACATGGACCCAACTCACCCACTGTCTCACCGAGTCTGCTTTTTTTAACCATCAGGAGTGGCAAGCCGCTCAGGTACTACTGCAGCTGTAGGTTTTGCTCATATGTTCCTCTTGTTAAAATGTTGATCGGGCACACACAGCTAATTTCCATGTCAAATGTGCCAGCATATGCCTGAGCTTAGAATTATTTCAAACAACAAAAGACAGCATTTCTAGGTTTGAGTGGCTATTGTAAGTATTTGCACTTTCTCTGATTCCTTCCCATGGATATATTTAAAATACGCCTGAGTGGTAGAACTTTCCTGTGACACCCATGATTTTAAGTGCTCACAAATTTAAAGTTAGTAGGTACTACTAGTATTTACTGGTTGGGGTTGGTTTTTGCTTGTAGGTAAGAAAACAGTCACCGGCTGAGACGGGCATTTTGCCAGATCCTTACACTATTTTTACTCTTTGATGGTTAATCAGAAAGCAAAGCAAAAACATGATACAGAGCTGAACAAAAATATCTTTGCTGCAGATATTTTGCAACTTACACCGATACAGAAGGCCTATTTTAATTTATGTTCAAATACTAAATGCACAATTCAGAGGAGGAGAGGTTAAGAAATACCAAGCAGTGATTCAACTGAAGTAGATGGAAAAAACTTTGTGCTGCCTATAGTGAAGGTGAAAAAATCCTGTTTTCTGAATGGCACTCTGATTAAAAATGACATTCTTGTTTGAACCAATAGGTGGCCTTTTTGAATGTGCTATAGTTCATTTTTCCCTGAGAACAGAAAAACGTCTGCTTCAAAGTACAGAACATTTTCAAACAGTAATTTTCAAACACAGTGAAAAAGTATTTTTGTTTCTGAACGACAATAGGTAGTAGGTGAAGTTCTGGATTTATTTCCCAGTATTCTAGAAGTTTTCGGTGTACTTATGTTTACATTAAGTCCTGAGTATTCAATGCATGATAATGATCAACAATAACGATAATAAAGTGGATTACAAAAGCTATCCTTTCTTTTTTGTATGCTTGTGCTGTCAAAATGCCATAAATTTCCAGTTTCTAAGACCTCTCATAGGTTCTTATTTCATGTTATTTACACAGGTAATTAGAACAGTTTTAAAAGAACAGTATCTCCTTGTGCTTCAGAAAAGGAGCACTTGTGATTTTTCAGAAGTCACACCTCTGAGCCGAGTGTCAGGGATCTTGGTTCTATTTTATTTCCTATATAAGCAATAGATTCTTAGAAGGGTTTCTGCAAGGCAGAGGCAGCCAGCAGCCATAGGTGGCCAAGCTCTCGTAAAAGCCTGGGTTAGGCG